GCTATTTGAAATTCTTTAATTGCTGTATTTTTTGAGAAATGGTAACTGAAGTTGCATGGCAATTTATTGTGTTCTTGCATCACTCAGCATTAATTCATATTCGTTTATGTTAAAATGAGTGGTAAAATTGGATCTATCTCACCCGAGGAGGATATCTGAAACTCTTTGTCTGAGGCAGTTTTTGAAATCTCTGGCACTCCGTATATTGTAGCTTTGGTTGAAGCGAAGATCTTAATCTAACATAAATGAATTTTGAAATGAAACCCCATGTTTTCTAATCAATTAAGTTATTTTTGTTATTATATTTTTGGGTCAGAGAAGAGCTGCGTCAACAGGGTAGATGTGTATACACGAAATAACACAATTTTTTTTTACATTGCTGACCCAATTTGTGGTGCTTGTTATAACTGATTTTAGTCTTGACACTTCCAGTATCGCTTTTCAGGATGGTCTCCTTTGGCATGGAAGATTTTGCTAAGAAATATGGAACACTAGAACCTTCTCAGTTTGTTGATGTGATGTCACTTATGGGAGACAAAGCCGATAATATACCAGGTGCTTTTGTGTGTGTGTTTTAATTATTAACTTATGTAAAGCACAAGTTATGGTTTTTTTTTTTTTTTGTTTTGTTTGATTAAATTCTGGGAAGGACAAGTTAATTGGAAAACCATATTTTTATTATAGCATTTTCTTTAAAGCATAGTATCCTGAAGTTTTTTTTTTCTACATCATTTTTGTTGTGAAAGAAATATGCTGTTACTGGAGTTTAAAATTTAATAAACAGAACTTATTTCATCCCGACTTGTGAAATGCAACCATTTTAAACCACATATCCTTCATTTTTCTTGTTACCTCAAATCAGCAAGAGCATTTATTTCTTCTTCTACTTTCTAGCTTATTGATGAATCTAAACGTTCTTTTAGATAGTTGTATACTTATTCTAGGTATAGTAATTTGATGAAGCTGGTAAATTGCAATTGAGTGCAGGAGTTGAAGGTATTGGAAATGTCCATGCTGTGCAACTGATTTCAAAGTTTGGTATGTACATGCAACTTGTCATTTTATTTGGAACCATGGCAAACTTGCCGTACCTTACAGCTTCCTTGCAACTTCACAGTTGTAAAAACAAATTATCAATATTGCATGCCATGAAGGAGAAATAAATATATTTGAACATTTCCTTGGAACTGAATCACAATATTGATCTTTGTGTAGAAATCCAGTCTGTCAAACATTTTAATTCTGTAAGGGATACATTATATCCAAAGGAACTTAAGAGGTTCGAAGATTGGGTACCAAGGCAAATCAACCGTAGCTTAGAAATATGATTTAGAGGAAAATATGTTTGTGGAATCCACTGTCCCCAATCTCTTATCTGGATGAGGCTTTAGGAAAAATATCTAGAATGGCTCATAAGACTTGAAGTTTAAGTATCACGTCAGGTTCAAATGAAATTGAAAGTTCTGACTCGCTATTCTACTTATGTGAAGTAAACTGACACGATGAATGGGAGCATTTCTCAGCAAATGTAGATGAAGTAATATAGGGAACAATAAAGTAGAATGTGTTATCATTCCCAAACAACTTCCTAGAACCAGATCTTATTCCCAGTACCCACATCCTATTTTGTGAACTGGATAAATGATGAACATTGCTGACATATAAACTTCTAGGGCCTTCTAACACTCATGTTCCCTGGGAAAGCTCATTCTTGTTGGGTCCAAACTATATATGCTCCTCATACTCCTTCCCCAAAAAGATCCATTCTTAGGAGTCCAATCTCTAGAATCATTTTACTACCAAAGCCAAATTTTCATTTGAAATTACACTCTCCTAATACATTATAGTTTTGATCCTACTAGCCATGTCCCAAGCAACTGAGCAATTCTTATTGCTAAGCATCTGAGAACAATTGAGTTGCTAGAACCGTTTGGTTTAACTCTGGATTCTTCTCCTCTAAAACGCCTGCCAGTAAATAGGCATTTGTTTCAAATCCATTCATTGATCTGTCTCTGTTCTTATTATCTGTTCAAGAGACTTCGTTGCTCGACCCATTCCTTCTGTTGATGGATGAACTAAGCGCTTGTTAATCGATGCTTTAACATAATTGCAAACAGAGGACATTTGTGCAATGTAGCAAAGAAGCACGAGTAGGATTGTGCTTTATAGATGATGATTTGCTGGAAATATTATTCGACTTAAAACTACCTTCCAACCAAAAAATGATAGTGAGTTCTGTTAACAAATTTTCCATTTTTATTCTTCCACATGGTGCTGTATGCCTCTCAATGTGAAATTATAGCCTTCGATTTATCTTCTTGTGCTCCTATTCATTACATTGTATTAGCCTTTCACCTTCTGATTTTCTACGTTATTCTACGCTGTAGTGCTTGCTAAATTGTCGCTTGTTCTTGTATGGATAGGTACATTGGAGAACCTGCTGCAGTGTGTTGAACAAGTTGATGAGGAGCGAATCCGGAAGGTTGTTAAATGTCGAATGTCTTGTTAGTCTAGTATTTCTTTTAAAAAATTTTGAAGCAAATTTCTATGAACTGAAGTGGCCACTCTAGGAAAAAAAAAATCAAGACTACAATTATCTTTGTCAAGTTACCTGGTATTAGAACAAATGTTTAGTGATTTAATGTGGACAACCTTAGTCATGAATCATGATAGGTCGAGTACCAACTAGTGAAGCACATTAGCATCATGCATGAGTGGCCTAGTACTTTATCAATGTTCAGAACTACTACTTCACAAGTACTGAATGCATATTTGCATCAATAGACAAGCCTTTAAAATGAAATCAGTGAACCAAACAAGTCTCTCTCGTAAACACATTGATATGCTACTTGTGCTGAAAAACTAAACATATCACTAGTTTGGTTATTTAGCTTCTATGAACTAAGGAGCAAATGTAACTTTTGGAACAATCATCCCTTTCTTCCTTAATGCAGTGTGGGCGTTCGTGTCAAGATTTAGTCGAGAGTGCTAAACGTCTAGTATTACCTTAGTTTGGTTTGAGTTTGGAGTGCTATTTCCATTATAATAATTATTATTTGGGTTTTTTGGCCAAATCAGTAATTTTTTTTAGATAAGAGCTTTATATTTGGTCATTTCGGCTGTATCAGCTGGATTTTTGTAACGTGGTCCACTCTGCTGGGAGGATCCATTTCTATTCTTGTCCGCAGCTGGTCTATCATGCTGTTCTTGTTATTGCAATTCAAAAATTATTCTGTTGATGAGGAAAGTGTATACCTCTTTAATCCTTTACAGGAAGAGGGAAAATTCATATAAGGCTAAACAAGATAAAATTACAAGAGAAGTTTCAATAACACATTTGATTTCCAGTGCTGTGGATTGACATAATTGTAGAATGCCATTAGTAAATCCTGATTTTCTAGTATATCTTTTATTTGATTCATATTATACATAAATATTAAAGATGTGCCAACACAAGTATGAAATGAGTAGAGATTTATTATACCAATGGCCAAAGACTTGGGAAAACGATAGGACTATTTCAATGGAGATGTCATACTAATATGCTGTCACTCTTGGTACCTTAGGGCCTTTCTCCTAGAGGAGATGCTTTTGCTTCTAAAAATTCTCCTTCCCTACCGTCCCAAAAAACAATGAAGAAATAGTAGGGAAGATAAACAAATATTGTTTATGATCTTCATTAGTTTGTTTTCTACATTCTGTAAATTTATGCATTCACTTAATCCAGTAGTTTTAGTTACTTATGTGAACTAGTTGTAGGCCTTGACATCAAATGCTGAGCAGGCTCTTCTAAGTAAGAATCTGGTATGTTTGTTTTTATTTATTTATTTTTGCAAGTGTAATTTTTTTAATAATTTCAAGCCAACCTATGGGCAGAGTATTTATTAAATCTGGTATGTTTCTTAGCATTTGTTATTTAATCATTCTTAGAACCTCATATTCTCAAAGCTAAAAGATCACATTCTACGTTATGTAGGCCATGCTACGTTCTGATCTTCCATTCTACATGGTTCCATTTTCCTCCGAAGATCTGACTTTTATGAAACCAGAGGTTCGTATTATCTCTGTAAAAGCAGCTGTTTCTGTCAACTATGAGCATGTCACGTGAAGTGTTTCATGATATTTCTATTGGGGTTCCAATGGCTTCTGGCTGGCTTAGTGAACTATGAAATTGCCTTTTAGATTAATGGTTTGCCCTACTTGGCCTGTTAATGACATGAGAAATCTATTCTGCCATTCAGGGTTGTGGCATTTATTAAATACACTATAAAGTTGTATGTGAGTCCATTTGTTGATACTTTCTTTATTTTATGGAAAGCTGTCCAGAGAGAACAGAAAGGACTTGAGCATGATAGATCTCGAATCTTGATGTTTTACTCATATTGATTCACTAACCACTGAATCACTGATGCATGTCAATGGGATCGTACTATATGTCCAATACAAAAGGTGCAGCCGTACTGCAAACAAAAGTAGGATTTGGGTTACCACTTAGAATCAGTTTGTCATTGATACAAAAACTAGTAAAAACTATCACTGGTCTGACTGAACCTAGAATTGCATGCATCTGTCATTTTGAAGTTCAGAAATACAATAGACTGGTTGTTTGGTATATTTATTTTACAACCTTGATTGCTTTTACTTGAGATGTCTCATTGATTGTAATTTTTTTTTTCACTATTCCGCCTGTGGAATTTCTTTGAATCAGTTGTAGATAATCAAATATATCCTTAATGCATCAATAGAACTCTATATGATTTCATATACCTATATCTGTATGATGATGGGAATATTAAACCTGGATCTTATGAACACAGGATAATGGGGAGAAATTCACAAGCCTATTGACAGCTATTAGTGCTTATGCAGAAGGATTTTCTCCAGATTCTATCATTAGAAAGGCTTATTATTTGTGGAAGCAGCTTGAAAGACAGTGATTCAGATAGATCTTTAGCACTTAAGTAAAACTGCATCTGAATGTGATGGGTTTAAAAAAGATCATGGAAATCCTAAACCTGGACGCTATGAGTACAGTACAATGGGGAGACTTTCACGAACGTCTTGACAGTTATTGCCTATTGGTGCTTTCGCAGAAAAAAATTCATGCAGATTTTATTTCTGGAAGGGTATTTTATCTGCAGGAAGTGATAAAAAGAGAATGGACCAGATATTTGTGTTGATGATGTCTCTAAGATGGTTTTAGCCAGATGAAAAATCCAATGAGCAATATATAACTTTTTCAGTTCTTCTCTAGTTTTTAGCCTCCCTTTTTGTAAAATTTACTGTGTCAAAAATCAATTTTGACCAGTTACTGATATTGATATACGAGAGTTCAATATCAATCTTTTTCGTTAATTTTATCTTCAGCGTGTGTACATGGTCTTGATTTTTGCTCTTTTATGATGTCGATTAAGAGTACCAAATTATCGATCAGCAAATGCACGACTAACATGGCCAAAGAAAAAATGATTTGTGACTTGAACGAACTAACGTTGAACATGCTTTGCAAATGTTGCAGGCAGGAAATACAGGGAACTATTTTCATTTTGGTGTTTCTGTAGTATGTGTCTTGATTTTCTAAATGAATGAATGCAAATCCGTCGGGTGCTGCTGGTCTCTGTAACTTACCTCCTATATTTGTATGGTGCAACTTGTATATGTATTACATAGGTTGGTAATAATTGATTCTTTGGTATTTTGTGGTTGTAGTAGTTTGCAGTGACAAAATGGAGATTAACTTATGGTGTTTTGGTGGTGCTGGAAAGTTTGAGTTTAGTTAATCTTAGCTTATATTGTAAGTTGTAATGATCCAATTTCTGTACCTAAGTTGTTAGCTTATTTTGTACTGTCCACTTTAGATAGCATCTGTCCATTTTACCCTTTACGAATTTATTTTGCGTTTTACATGATCCAAATTTAGGACCTCGGGGGTATATTTTCACCACTCTCATTTTTGCCAATCAATATTACTTCTCCGACAATGGTATAGTGCATGTTTGGTTAAGCATAAAAAGTTTATTTACAAGTTCATATATAAATAAACAAGTATGTTCACAAACATAGATAACTTCCCCTCAATATCCACTTTCGAGCCCTTCATCTTTTTGAATTGAGCTCGGCTTGGCTTGTGTCGTTCGAACAACCATAGGGAGCACCTCGATATATGATCGCGTATAGTAACAGAGAGTCCTCTTATGATTAAGGCCAACTTCAATTCATCTAACCAAGGTTCATCTTGTGTAATGATTGTGGACTCGTACAAGAATATTGAATAGATAATTGACGAAACGAACTTGACCCTATCCATGTTGCTATTGGTATGTTAACCTACATGTTCGGTGCATGTATGGACAATAGAATCTTACAAG